ATTCGAATTATGGAAAGGTTGGAAACCAAGTTTAAGTCATTTACGCATCTGGGGTGCCCAGTTGAGGTTAGAGTTTATAATCCACAAGAACGGAAGTTAGATCTAGGACTATTAGTGCATATTTTATTGGATATGCAGAAATATCCAAAGGATATAAGTGTTATTGTCCTAACCATTCCAGTAGAATTGTTGAATCAAGAAATGCCAAATTTCTTGAAAATGATGTGGTTAGTGGGAGTGATCAACTCAGAGACTCAGTCTCTGAGAAAATTGATGTTTCAGACAATGCTCCTACATCAAGTAAAAGATTGGTTGTTCATCCAAACAGGGTGAATAATGAGGAATCACTCAATCAAAATCCACATTCTGATGCGGTTGTTTTAGAAGATCATTTTGACCAACCTCCAATACAAGTGGAACAACCAGTTGTGCAACAGTCTCAAGAGACTGCTGATACAACATTAAGGAGATCTTACTAGAACAAAGAAATTAGCAATTCCTACTGATTATGAAGTGTATATGCAAGAGGCTGACTATGACATAGGTATTGAGGATGATCCAGACACGTTTTACAAGCTATGAACAGTAGTAAATCTGAGTTGTGGTATAATGCCATGATTGACGAGATGAATTCTATGGCGGATAATACAGTTTGGGACCTTGTTGACTTGCCTACTGGAAAGAAACCTATTGGTTGTAAATGGGTATTTAAAACCAAAAAGGATTCATTAGGCAACATTGAGAGATACAAGGTAGACTTGTTGCCAAGGGGTTCACACAAAAGGAAGGAATAGATTACAAAGAAACATTTTCTCCAGTTTCTAAAAAGGTCTCTTCGTATCATCATGGCATTAGTTGCCCATTTCAATTTAGATTTACATCAAATGGATGTTAAAACAGCTTTTCTCAATGGAGATTTGGAGGAAGAGGTTTATATGAAATAGCCTGATGGGTTCATTTCAAGTGATGGTGAGCATTTGTTTTGCAAGCTTAAGAAGTCCATTTATGGACTTAAACAAGCCTCCGACAGTGGTATTTAAGATTTCACACTGTTATCTTTCATTTGGTTTTGTAGAAAATGTCATGGATCAGTGTATATACCACAAGGCAGTGGGAGTAAAATCATCTTTCTTGTGTTATAGTAGATGATATTCTCCTTGCAACCAATGATTTGGGTTGCTACATGAGGTGAAACAATTTCTCTCTCAACATTTTAGTATGAAAGATATGGGTGAGGCGTCTTATGTCATTGGCATTAAGATTCATAGGGATAGGCCTCGACATGTTTTGGGACTATCTCAGGAAGCCTATATTAATAAAATTCTTGAGAGATTTAGGATGAAAGATTGTTCACCCAGTGTTGCACCCATTGTTAAGGGTGACAGGTTCAATCTGAACCAATGTCCTACACTTGAGATTGAAAAGGAACAAATGAAAACTATCCTTATGCTTCAGCTGTTGGAAGCCTAATGTATGCTCAAGTCTGTACTAGACCTGACATCGCTTTTGCAGTTGGCATGTTAGGAAGATATCAAAGTAATCCAGGTTTGGATCATTGGAGAGTGCAAAGAAGGTCATGAGGTATCTTCAAGGAACTAAAGGTTTCATGCTTACTTATAAACGTTCCGACATTTAGAAGTCGTCGGATATTCAGACTCAGACTTCGCTGGATGCGTTGATTCTCGAAAATCAACGATTCTCGCGGATCGGGTGCTATATCTTGGAGAAGTGCCAAACAATCTTTAGTTGCCACTTCACCATGGAGGCTGAGTTTGTTTCCTGTTTTGAGGCAACTACACAGGGTATTTGGTTAAGAAGTTTCATTTCTGGGCTTGGAGTTGTTGAGTCTATCTCTAGGCCAATAAAGTTATATGTGACAATTCAGCTGTTGATTCTTTGCTAAGAATAATAAGAGTGGAAGTCGAAGTAAACACATCGACATTAAGTACTTAGCAATAAGGGAGCACGTTAAAGCCAAAGAAGTGCTCATTGAACACATACATACTGAGCAGATGATTGCTGATCCTCTAACGAAAGGCATGCCACCAAAGACGTTCAAGGATCATGTTGTCCAAATGGGACTATGTCCGCTTTGTCACTATGAGAGGTAATACTTTCATTGTCTGAAACTTTGTACTTAGTTTGTTTTCTCTTTTAAGTTGTATACATTTTGGTTGGAGACAAACAAACATTCTAGAGGACCTAGAATAAACATTTGAGGTTTGTTCATAAAGTGGTATTCCACATTTAAGCGTTTATTTAGAAAGAGTAAAATTGCATTGTAATACATAGAAGGTAATACTTGTTTAAAAGGGACTTACCGCTATGATTCATGTACTTTTTCCTTTCTAATTGAACATACCGCATATAATCTCTGTGTTTTGGATTATATTATACAAGTTTGGACCAAGTGGGAGAATGTTAGACTTTACCATATGGTCCTGCACTTCTCTTAATTGCATTTTGGTCCCTGTTGATGTGGTCATACGGTTGTGTCTCTTGGGCAGTTGTCTTTGATGGAAAGACAACTGCATATAAGAGAGAGAAGTTTACAGGTCCCCATTCGATGCATTTTTGATTCCCAAACCATCACCCAAAATTGCAGTCAAGTGGAAGATCCTGTAATTCATAAAGGAGCAAGAAGATTAAAGAAGTAATTGCTATGGCTGGAGGTTTGTCATTTATTTCCGCATATATTCCATGGAGTTTTTAAACTGAGATTGATTGTATTGTAAATGAATATTGGAATATGAATATGTTTTACATTACATTCTGGGCAATTGGAATTTTATTGGATCCATTAGTGGTCTATACTCTTTTTGTGCGTGATGATAGAAAGTGCATTCAAGTGGACAAAAAATTTGGGACGGCAATTTTTGTTGTTCACGCAGTAGTTGATATCATTAATATAATCTTTTACATGAAATTAGAGCTGCGTGATGATTTACAAAAAGCAAAAGGTGCGGGGATACGTCACGGATGTTGGTCTATAATATGCATTTTTCCGCTCTCAGTGGTAAGGGAGACACTCTTACAGCTAATTTAATCTTCTTTCTTTTAGATTTGACTAGGGCTGAATCAAACTAAACATTTTCCCTTGTGGACTTCAACCTGTTCAGGTGATGCTTATTCTCATTCATATGAGAAAAACCAGCGTAGTTTTGTTTGGAGTAATAATAACTTTTCTATTGCAAACTAATGCAAGACTAGTTCGATTGATGATATTGTTCGCAGAAGCGATTCCTCCATCAGCAACCTTTCGTCCATGGCTGCTTAAGTTCACTTATTTATACGTGTATTGGGGTCAAGTAAGTTCAGTTACACAAAGGGTTTATTGGATGCAAAACTTAGTTTTTTTGTTTTTCCTTTTTACTTTAACATTCAGTGTCACCTTATACTTTATTAAAACATGTGACGTGCCTCTTTTTTTAAAATTAGAGATTCTAAGTGAAAGTTATTATATTTATATTTTACAAATTTATCCTTATATTAATTACATTATTAAATTATATCTCACTATTGTATAATTAAATATTTTAAAACTGAAAGTAGTGAACCGGACACCGGCCGCTGGAATTTGGTGACTGGAAAAATCTTCAATGTGTTCAAGAATTAATATTAGTATGAAAATGATCATATTCAAAGGATCTATTTATATATGTAAATTTTAGAGACAAAAAGGTTTATTGTTTTCGGGATCTGATAGATAAAGTTTAGTGCTTGAGCAGCCACCACATTTATTGCTATATAAAATTATAAGGTTAGATAGATCATTCAAAGATTAAAATTTTGATACTAATATTTTTCCTATACCATGTCGGAAAATTTTCTGGTCACCGGATTCCAACAATGGCGACTGGTTTTTGACAGCAGGCTGCCCATTCTGACCACTGTATTAATCCGTCAACGTATTTAATTTTTTTAAAAATAAATAAGATTTAGAACTTATATAATAATTTATATCTATTATGAATAATGGTATATTAGGTAATCTAATTTATTTATTTTTTTAAGACTTTTAGTGTTTAGAAATAAGTTATACAGAATTTAACTTTCTCTATCTAGTAATTTTATCTTAAAATAAGTGGTAATTTGTTTTTTAAAAAAAAAAAAAAACTGATGTACTTTGTATAAATATTTGACCGTTTTTTCCAAGATTTTTTATCCACTTTGGAGTTGCTGATGTTTTAGGCCATATACACAGAGCTTAGATGTTGGCACAAAGCGTGCAGGACTCACAATAAAGTATGCCCTGATCGAGATTTTTATGACCGTTTCTTTCGTTGTAACGAAAGTTTTACAAGAGTACAAAATTATGAATGATTTTTGTTCAAGAAATACAACCGAGTATGATTTTGGAGTATTCCGTGATGCCCATCAGTCTGGAATTCTGGAGATGAGAGGTTCTGCACTCAAGATTTTATTTTGTTTTCGATGGGCCATGCAAAAAATCAGGTTTGTGCACTATTAATATCGTATACTTTCTTCTTCTTGTATAGTGGTTTTACTGAGGAATAACTGTTCTGAAACTTCTGATCTGCCACCTCAACACATTATACAAGAAGATCTTTATATACAATTTCTATTCCAGGCTGGCAATCATTCTGATCTGCCACCTCAACACAAACAAACACACCTTCTAAAGAAAATACAAAAATGAATGAATTTAACTCTGCAACCTCCAATATATCTTCTCCGCACTTATTTTTTATAACTGAATTTCATTATCACAATTAGTTTCTCACTAAAATGACAATCGGATGAATTATTTTCTATTACTGATAATTCATGACGGAATTATCATATTTCCTCACTTCAGGTAGATGTGAAATCTAACAGTAATGCATGATTGGTATCTCAAGTTTCCATGACAAATTTTCCATTTCAATCTTTGGACGTGATATTTATACATTTGATTTCAATTTTTGCAGTGGTTTTGGTTCGAACATTGAAGCAGTTGGTACTGACACAGTTGGAAACTTCTTTGTTCTTTACATAATTTACACGGCAGTGATTTTGTTTTACTTTCTTCTCGTACAAATGCAGGTCCGTATATTTTACTCTGTTAACTTCTTATTTCCGAATTTAATTGTAAATACTAAAATATACACCATCTCCTCATCTGTGAAACAGGTATATCTGCAGTCGAACACGGAAATATTAAAGGAGAGAGACGAGAAGTTGCAAGAGACAAAGCAATCGACGCACTTCGAAAAGCTGTCTGAGGATATCCAAACTAAAGTGATAAGTGAGAAGTACAAGCCAAGTGAAACAGGAGAAACTAAAGGTGCTAATATAGAAAATTTGTTCGATGGTCTTTCCGAGGGACTTAGAAAGAAAATGACTAAGAAACTTTGCAAAGAACTGCTCAGAAAAGTGAGTTTCTTCAAGAGTTCACATATCTTTTACTATTTCTTACAAATTTCTAGACATTTAGATTACAAATGACTCATTCTCATTCTTGTTTGTATATCAAGGTGGAAGAGTTCCAGAATTGGAATGATGCTTCACTGGATGACCTTTGTGCTTATCTGAAGCCAGTTTTCTTTAGCGAGCAGACTTGCATTATCCGGGAGAACGACCCAATTTGTAAGATGATCTTTGTGGTTCAAGGCAAGCTGTGGATCTACACCTCCGATTCCAATGAGGATTCAACAAATGACTCTTCGAACACAGTGCTCGATAGACAAAGAAATGATCCTGTTAATGAAGGTTACTTCCACTACCAGAAAAAAACTACTGATGATGCTTTTAAATTAGCTTAAATTACATAAAACCATTACCTCTTTCATATATTAAAAATATTTTTGTAGTGGTCTTCTGCGGAGAAGAACTTCTGAATCGGCTTCAGACTAACCCTTCCACATCAAAGTTCCCGGTCTCAAAACGAACCATTCAAGCGCTTACAAACGTTGATGCCTTTGTTCTTATGGCCTATGACTTGAAAAATATATTCATTAAGCGTCAATGTGAGGAATGAATGGCTGCTCAGGGAGCGAACACAAGTAACACAATGGATTGGTCAGATAGTTTCGTTGTTTGGTTTATAATATAATCGTGGTTTGTGCTATAGGCCAGAGATATATCTGAGACCTATAGAATTATGTTTATTGTTGAATAAACAAATTACAAAAAACAATCTGCATTTGCTAGAAACTTTTGCATTTAAATTTAATGTAGAAACTATATTCAGACGATCTGGTTTCGATGTCCCAAGTTTGCTTTACCTTTAATTTCAAAGAGAAATCAACCTGTTGCTGCTACGAGAAGAACAATCTGCAGGCAACTTTAATTTCCAGGGAGCTGAGGAATTGAGAACTGGCCGAGTTATATTACGTTTTCATTTTTCTTTTTTTATTAGTCTTGGAAAGCCAGTAAAACTTGTCCCCATGTACTTTCATTTTTCATTTAGAGGAAGTAGATAATTAAATTTGTTTTTAGTCTAACCAAATTCAGTCGATAGTACGGCATTATATCAGATTCTGACCACCTGTTAGTGGTGGTGGCTGGAAAATGAAGGTGAGTGACAATATTTTTATCAATTTCTAAACTTTTTTCTATGGGTATTTAATTAAATTAACAAACTTAGAGGGTTTAAAAATAATTAAATAAAATAGAATATGATTTTTAAAATAGGGAAACAAATGTATATTTTGAGTAGAATAGGGATAGGATAATGCAAAAATAATTAAACAAACTAACTATTTTTTCACACACACTGTTTTTTGCCATACAAACTGTTTATTTGATAAAAAAAATTATTGAGACTATTAATAAGATATTTCTTAACAATTTTTCTTTTTTAAGAGGCTTGCATTAGATATGCTTATGTGCTAAATTTACATTGCCAAAATTTAAAATGAAATTGCAAGGAAAGAATCAAGAACAATGAGACTTAAAAAAGCACAAAATGCCAAATCCAAAAATTTGGCCAAAGATGATGGGGGTAATGTGTTGGCTCTCTAATTCAAGGAAGAGGAAGGCCTCCGAGAAGGTAAGAGTTAGGCGATTGGAAAAATATACTTAGGTTAAATTTATCGTTCAATGAGATTACTATGAGACACCCGGTATTATTTAAATATTCAAATACAAGTAAATAGCCGCTAACATCATGTAAACTAGTTGAACGTAACCCTTCAAGTGTGCAGGTGGTCTTCCTTTTCTGTTGCCACTAATCTTTTATATTATTGGATAAATTCTCTGAGTATGTGACTGCTGTAAATCATCACAAAATTAAAGTTATACTTCTAAGTAGTTCACTCGACAACAATCTAATTTTAAGCTCTTATTGAAGGACAGTTGAGCATCCTATTATGTGTCTGTATCTCCATTGAATCAAATCTTGGATTTACCAGTTCAATGTGTAAGACTTACCCATTATAGAATGAGAATCTTTCTACACCAACAATTTCTGTAGCGTCATTGTCAGCCATGGAAGGCAAGAAAAGCATCCCAGCAATTAATTCTGGATTGATCATGAAACGGATCTCTTCCTACGTGAGATCGTGATGATAATAACTAATATTGAGTTGGATGCAAGAAGATAATGGCTCTAAACTGTAAGTCTACAAAGTATAAAATTGCCTTATCAACGGCTAAAAAGTGTGAAACTAAACAAATAAAATTGAACACAATAGATTATATAAGTATTTTGAATTACCTCAAAAGGGCAGAGGGGCATGATGGATTTGCTCCATGAATTACCTCAAAAGGAGGAACCTTCTGCTCAAATGAGACAGAGTCAATAGGCATACATGAGGATATCCTTTCAAATAATGTATAATGCACTTTATTTTATTTTCCTGATTTTCACTAGAACTTTCATATAGACTCCTGAAAAAGATGAAAGTTTTACACTATTCAGTTACTAGCTTCGAGAATCAAAAAATAAAAACTAAAGAAAAAATCAATTGATTTCATGGGATACACCCGAACCCATGAAAATCAAATCAACCATAAATCAAAGTTGATTGTCAGGAAGATGGTTTGCACCTCTATTGGTGACTGGGAACAAACAAAAGAAAGAGCATGCAAGAAGAGTACCAATCAATTCTTGAAAAGCAACATTTAAACTATCAATGATTACGCCATATTAGAAAAACAACTGAAAGTAAAGAAGAATAAACAATGAAACCACTGGAAAAGGCCAAGAAACAATTTTTAAGATGATAAGGGTGGAGTCTTATCAAATAGATTATATGACACAAGCGATATCAATTTTGCAGCACTTATGCAACTTATATACAACATCTTTTAGTTGACCTAAAAAACCCATATATTTAGGGTTTGGCAGAGCACTGAATTGTGTGCCTAACAATTGATAGCCCAAATATAAAGATACCTGGCTGAGGAACACTATGCCTGCTTCTTGTGGACCCAATATGCGGAGACCCGTTTTGATGCCATATTTTCCAAGAAAATCATCTGCATTTTGATAGTGACTTTCTAATAGAGAGGGCAACTGCGAGAGAAAATTTGCTAGTGCCGGAACAGCCTCTCCAAAACCACTTTGTTGATTCCGCCCGAGATGTAAGTTGCACAAATCCTCCTTATTCAGCTTCAGTTATAATAATGTCTTTATGTAATTAGCTATTCGTTAATCAGTTCACTTATATCTTATGCTTATCCAAATTATCTTCAAAAGAGAGCTATTGACATCCAAGCCAACAATTTCTTCATGATTGTATGGCATAACCAGACCCATCAACCCAAAACTCATAAATTTCACTTCACATTCAAACTATTAAACATAACCATCAACACAAAACTCATAAATTTCACATCACATTAACCGCTATAAACCAACAAAACTCAAGTGAAAAAACATACCCATTAAGACAAATTCGCTTCACATTGATACTTCAACAACACAACTTTCATCCAGCCAAAAAAATAAATAAATAATCCATCAACATAAAAGTCAACTCAAATTCAAACTATAACCCCAAATAATCAAGTAAAAATATACCCATCAACGCAAAATTCATAAAACTCACTCAAATTCAAACTACAAACCCAAATGAAAAATACTGAGCTTTTTTCAGGAGAGAAAGAATTACATTATCGAAGAAAAGCACGTAACCATTAAGGACAAAAGGCGCGAGAGGTTCAAAGAGAGAGAGCGAGCTTCTGATGTCACAAATGGACATAGAAAGCACTTCTCCTGAGTTGACCCGGCTGTGTTCGGGACCTTTCGCCGTTGATCTAAGAGCTTCCACTACTTTCGATGGCCAAAACAAAGTTGATGAACGAACCAATAATGGTAGGTAGGGTAAAACCGACTTCAAGTCTTCTCTTTTCTCCATTTTCTTCTTCGTTTTGATGCTTCGCAGGCACTGTCTTTGTTTAGTTACATATAATTACTAGTAATTGGCGCGTCGTGAGTGGTTGTTGATAAGTTATTTACTATCTCCGTTTAGTTACATATAAGGGGGCGTTTGGTTGGAGGTTAAGTGGGATTACTGGGGTAATGTCATCTTATATTACTTGATTACCATGTTTGGTTGTCAAGTAATATCAGATACCGGTAATCTTCAAATACCAATAGTAGTTACTATTGGTAATATCAGAGGTAATCTGATTATCTCCATTTTCTTAGGTATTATGAGATTACCAGGGTTATCTTTTTTTGTTAAAATTTTATCCCTTATTAATAAAAGTTTTAGACAATAATACCCCTACTTTAGGGAGTGACTTTGCAACGCTTTCCTTTTTCATACATCTCTTAGCCCACACAGTGAATTTGGGGCACTCTGCTGCTACACTGAACTTGGCATACGTCTCATATGCGTGAAACCAGCAGTATAAAGGGATCAAAGATAAGTCGACATACCCAAAGGTCTTGCTTCTGAAATAAGGATTGTCTCCGAGCTGCCCTTCCAAGGTCTTGATTACTTCAATGAATTCCTTCTCTGCGGCCTCCTGTGCTTCACCTGTTGTGTCCATGTCTTCCTCCCCGCATCATGTGACTGCAATTTTCTTTACTAGGTTAGCATCTTTGTTCTGAAATAGGCAAGATTTTAACACATGCAGTATCATCAAGTAAAACCAAGAGAGGTGCCTTGACATTGTAAGACTTTAGTTAATTATTTTCTCTGATTAACACATACAATGAAAACGGAGAGAATGAAACCTCCATTCATTTCAAGCAATCACATCATTTATGTAAATCATAAACTGGGTTGATTCAAAATCATGCCAATCTGAAAATTCTGAATTCATTGAAATAAATTCCATATATTCTTGAAAAATACAAAAGAGAAATGAAAATAATCTCTTTGTAAAAGGAAAACAAGACACTCGTCATTTTGGTAAAGATACTAGAAAGGGGGTTCAACAAAACTTAGGGCCAAAGAATAAGAAGAAAGGCAAAGGCTATAATAACAATAAGTCTAAATCAGAGACTAGAAAGTGCTTCCATTTTAACAAACCTGGTCACATAAAAAAGAATTGTTATGATTGGATTAGGAAGCAAAAGCAGAATAGTACAGAGAGTAACCTAGCATCGTCTAGTAACAGCTTTGAAATCACTAAAGCCCTTACTGTGTCCAGTTATGAAATTGCTAATGAATAGGTGCTAACGCATGGATTGTTCCTTTCATATGAGCCCAACAAAACCTGGTTTCAAAACCTGATAACTGGTGAACCTAAAATGGTGTTTATCGGAAATATAACTCATGTAGGTTCAAGGGATTGGTAACATTACTCTTAGACTTAAAAATGGCAAACTAATAATGTTAACCAAAGTTAGGTACATACCAGAGCTTAAGCGTAACCTGATCTCATTAGGCACACTGATGAAGCAGACTGTAGCTATAGAGCTAAAATGGTTGCATTACTGTTTACAAGAATGATCAAATTCTGTTTGAGGGTTGAAAAGGCATGGTCTGTACATATTGAGGACAATATTATCAATTGAATGTTAATTCTGCTTCTCATCTACTAACATTTCAAATGCAGAAAAATGGCACCTGAGGATGGGCCATATAGGCCAAACTGAAATGAGCATCTCAAACAGCAGGGGTACTTTGGTAATGACAATGTATCAGACTTAGAGTTTTGTGAGATTTGTGTCATGGGCAAACAGCACAGGCTGAGCTTCCCAAAAGGAACTCACCTGTCTATGGATGTTTGGATTATCTTCATGCTGATCTTTGGGGTCTAGAAAGAGTCAAAACACATGGGGGTAATAGTTATTTTCTAGCCATAGTGGATGATTCAGTAGGAAGGTGTGGGCTTACCTCCTTAGGACCAAAGATGAGGCACTAAGTAAGTTTAAGAGCTGGAAGACTTTATTAGAAAACCAACTGGAGAAAAAGGTGAAAGCACTCATAATTAACAATGGTCTGGAATTCTGTAACACTGAGTTTGATGCATATTGTAGAGACCAGGGGATTATGAGACATATGACTGTTTGGAGAACACCTCAGCAAAATAGAGTTGCTAAGAGGATAACAGACACTGTTAGAAAAGTTAGGTGTCTCCTCTTCACAGTTGGACTACCTAAGTCCTTTTGGGGAGAGGCTTTAACCACAGCTGCCTATTTGATAAATAGAACTCCCTTTAGTGCAATTGTTTTATGTGCCCTGAAGAAAAATGGACAGAAAGAAACCTTCACTCAACCACCTAAAAGTATTTGGCTGTGCAGCCTATGCACATACAGTAGATGGAAATTAGAACCAAGTCCCTAAGATGTGTATTTTTGGGGTATCAAAAAGGAACCAAAGGATATAGGTTGTGGGAGAGAGAAACCCAAGGGTTAAGGTTATCATCAGTAGAGATGTTATTTTTAACGAATTTGTGTTCCCTTGCAGGGTTACTAATAACAGTGCAGGTACCTCAGCCACCATGTGGAGACACCACAGCAAACCACAGTACTCAGTTTGAGGTGGAGTCAACAAGGCAACGGAGCCTGAGACCAATACTGATGAACCAGAATATGAAACTGACACACACTACAACTAATACTGAACTTGATGTTGAAGATGAAAATGAGGAAAACATTGACAATGCCCAACAAGATGATCTGGCTCAGTATCAACTGGCCAGAGGTAGAACCAGAGTGATATAAGACCATGAGCAAGGTTCAGTTATGCAGACCTCATCTACACACCTTGCTGGCTGGAGTAGAGATCCGAGGATAGAACCTGACTCCTATGAACAGACAGTCAACTCAAAGGATAGAAAATATTGGCTTACTGCCATGAATGAGAGATGGACTCCCTAGGCAGAACAAACCTGGATTGTGGTTCCAAACCCAAAGATGTCAAACTGGTGGACTGTAAGTGGTTGTACAAGCTAAAGGAAGGTAATAACAAAACTGATCCACCAAGGTATAAGGCTAGGTTGGTAGCCAAAGGCTACACCTACGAGCAGGTATAGACTTTACTGAGATTTTCTCACCTGTTATTAAATTCAAAGCTATAAGATTGATGTTATCTATAGTAGCCCATATAACTTAGAGTTAGAGCAGTTAGATGTAAAAACTGCATTTTTGCATGGGAATTAGAAGAACAGATCTAATGAGTCAACCTATGGGGTTTAAGGATAAAAGGTTCCCTGATTATGTATGTTTGCTGTATACATTTCTGTATGGTCTCAAACAATCACCTAGGCAGTGGTACAAGATGTTGACTCCTTTATAGTAGGCATAGGGTTTACTAGAAGTGAGCATGTAAATTGTTTCTATTTTGCACATGTGAATACACTCCTGTATATTGTTATTATACGTTGATGACATGCTATTATTAGTAAATCTAAGGCCCAAATTGAGGAGTTGAAAGGGAAATTGCATGCTGAATTTGACATGAAGGATTTGGGCTGTGCTAGAAAATTTTAGTGTATGCTAATAAAAGAAACGGGAAGAATTACAGCCTAAAACTGCATCAGATGCCTTATCTGCAAAAACTTGTGTTAAAGTTTGGAATGAGTGACTCCAAGTGTGCCACAATGCCCCTAGCTAGTCACTTCAACCTTAGTAAAGCCCAAAGTTCAAAACAGAACCTGATAGACTAAAATGGAAACCATACCATATGCAAATGCCATTGTTCTGTATGTACTCTATGATCAGTACAAGACCTGATTTATCATATTCAATCACTTCTAAGTAGATTCATGTCAAATCCTGGGTGTGATCATTGGAATGCTTTGAAATGGCTTCTAAGATATATTAAAAGTATTGAAATGTTGGTCTAAATTTCTGTAAAAGAAACTCCACACTTGATCTGGTTGGGTATGTAGATTCTAATTTTGCAGGTGATAGAGATTCACGAAATCCACCATAGCATATCAGTTTACTTTGGGAGAAAACTGCATCAGTTGGAAGTCCCACTGCAGCCACTGGTAGCCTTGTCCACAACTAAAGCTGAATACGTGGCTGTAACCGACGCATTCAAAGAAGCCATATGGCTCTAAGGATTCCTGAAAGAGGCCAGTTGCTGGATGGAACTGTGACTGTCTATTCAGACAGTCAGAGTGCCATTCCCCGTGGACCATGAGAAAACCAAACATGTTGACGTAAGGTATCATTTTGTGAGGGATATGATCTACAAAGGAGAAGTGAACCTATAGAAGATCCCAACTGAAAACAACCCAGCAGACATGGGAACCAAGGTTGTAACACTTGCAAAGTTCAAGCACTGCTTGAACTTATTGCATGTGGGATAACCAAATCATAACTAAAAGGAATATGGAAATGCATGCTGCACAATTGAACTGACAGTGCTGAACAACTGCCACAGACTTCAAGGTGGAGATTGCTAAATAAGTGAACATCGACGTCGTTTGACTAGGTAACAAAACGCTGTCGTTTTGTCTATTAGTCCAAATGAATAACAGCCATCAAAGTTAAAGAAAATCCAACGGCTCAAATGCAATCAAAGTCAACAATAAAAAAGGGACTATTACGCATTTGGCAAAGAGATGAGTTTTACGGTCTTCATTTCGTTTTCTCTGTAAAATCGTTTCATTTGGGTTAGGTTTCACGTTCATTCTGGTTCTTCTTGTGTGAATCTTTCTAGAGTCTTATTTGAGGCAGGGGTTCCTTAAAGGGTATAGAGTACTCTAGGGTTTGTTGGGATTTGCGAGAAACAGGGAAGTGAATGAGTGTTTGATTCTGTGGTTGACAGTGAAGAGATTCATCTGTAAATTGTAATCTTTGAAGTGATCAATACTAGTGCAGCGAGCTCCATATTCTGGAGTTCAACGTCGATGTAACTTGTTCTATATTGAACAAGCGAACCACGTATATCTTGTGTGTGTGATGTTTTCATTGTTCTTGCATTTTCTGTTTTGTATTGTGACTAATCTTGCAGGTTGAAGGATTGGTATTGATTTACAACAACCATATATACATTCAATATCATTGCAGAAAACTTAGTTGTGTTTGACATACCTCTTCAACGCCAAAATCAACAACCTTCTCTTCAAGTGAACGCACATCCTTAACATGAAACCTGTTTAGCATGTGATCATGAAATAGTAGACATTGGCTTCAGCTCCAAGTTATCCATTACCGTATATGTCACTACCGCTTTAACGAACCCTCTCTCAGCTGCGACGGTGGTGCTTTTGCCGCTGGATTACTACTAGCGTTTACATAAGGAACCTCAGTGGTCATTTTCTGCTGGGACTGCGGACAAACCACGTTTGGAATTTCAGCCACATTCGAATGCTTGTATGGGCACATGTAAACACTTCGAGTTTTCAATTCATGATCAAGCAACAAAAGGGGCATATCATTTAATATCCCATTTGAGGTACGTATTTAAGATTTACTGTATTAGTTAAAAGTTTATGTTTTAGTTTTAATTGAGTTTGTATTTGAGTTGGTTGAATATTACCTTGAAATTGGTTGAATTTTGGTGAAGTTTGGAAATCCAATCTTCGCCGGGGCGAAGAAGAAGCTTCGCCACGGCGAGGATGAGCTGCACCCACGGGTAGGTTCTGCCCTGTTTCACCAGGGCGACGAAAAGTGCTTCGCCGCGGCGACGAGCCTAAAACAAAGTTTCTTGAGTTTTCTAGAGAATTCTTCTTTGGGGCACAATGACCATTCTACCCTAATTAGTAGGAAAAGTGGGAGTAAAATGAGGAAATTAGTAGAGATTGTGTTTGGTGGGGGTGTATTTTGTAAAGAATCAAGGATATAGATGGAATTTCCAAGGAAGACAAGGGCAAAATGGGAAATGATGCTTATAATATGAACTAAAAAGGGTTAGTGTAGAGAAACCCTTTATTTCTTCATTCCACCGCCTCTTCCATTTGCCCCCTTTCTCTCATTTTCTCCATCCAATCTTCCAAGATTTCTAAGGGATTTAAGAGGGGTTTTGAGTAGAGATTTCATCTAAAGCATCCTAAGGTAAGAATTCATGCTTTAGTGTGAGTTTTCTTATAATTATAGTGAAGTCTTATTTGGTTGTTGCTGTCCTTGTGGTTGTTTTGAGTTGTAGAGAAGAAACAAGACAACAAAGGAAAGAAAAGTGCTAAAGAAGTCATCTTTGCACAAGGTAAGTAAATCCTACCAACTTGAGTTTTGATAAGTTTTTGAGTAGAGATGTATGCATGATCAGTATGTAGTATGATAAAGAGAAATTAATTTGAGATGAGTAGCTATTTTGTAGTTATTGGATAGACTCCATGTATGAGAAGTATTGTTGATGTGTGATGAGAAAGGAATTTGAGATGAAGTTTGAGAGATGTGGTGTAAACCTTTTTGGAAGTGCTTTCCTTGACAGGGTTATGGTTATATGAGGGAGTTTTCTTCCAATTTGGATGGCTAGAGAATGAAGTATAATAGTAATTGAGTAGAGTTGTTTATATGCACATAAGTTGTTTGATGAAATGCCTAAGTGAAATCTGCCCTGTCACTGCTGTAACTTTTCTAAGTAATTTTTGGGCATCTTACGAATTGAACTGGGCTGAGACCAAACATAGAAGTTATAGCCCTGTTTCTAAGCTTTAAAACGAGATCAAAACCGTAATAATCAGAGGTGTATAATGAAAGTTATGGTCTTTTTAGTGTGACTTGTCAAGAATGACGTTTTGAGGAAATCTTGTATTTGGCATTTCATTAGTGCATTAGTGAGCATGAGCTATCCTACACATTTGTTTAGTGACTTAAGAAGTAGCTTGAGACATAGTAGAGAACTTGGGTATAAGTTCTTTAAGAGAAAGAGAGAATGAGCATTAGCGAACTAAGAGAAAGAGAATAGAGTAGGTTGTGCGATGGGGAACCCGTGAGTAATGGGTAGAGTATTCCCGCATGTACGCCGCATTGAGAGAGCGGCATGAGTATCAGATAGAGAAGTGGTGTAGCCCGTGAGAGTGCATGCGGATGAGGGCTATACCCGAGTACCCGAGAGAGAGAGATTATATACTCACATGGCCAAGGGTTCCAAATCCATGCATAACCGAGTCCGATCGGCTAGAGTGAGTAGAGGTCACATAGAGTAGGAGCGAGTCCCGGCCGTGCCCCCGATAAGATGGGGTCGTGATTTACTAGAGAGAGTTACTAGAAAAGAGTTCTAAGAGAAAGAGAAAGAGAAGTACTAAAGAGAAATTGAATGAGGAGTTGTAAGGAAAGAATTAGAGAGAGAGAGAGTTACGGGGATAGATGAGTAGAGGATTTACTTACTGAGCATTATTTTAGTGCCCACCCTGTTGTTTTCCTATGTTTTGTAGGATCCAGGTGAGGACACAGTCGGATGGACGTCGACACGCGAGAGGAAGCAGTTACACTGTCCACTATGTTTTAGTATCTTTTGTATACATTATAAGTTTGTGTAAAAATGTATGGCTCCGTTTGGTTCAAAATTTGGGGGTTTTGGGAAAAGTTTTTTGAAAAAAGTTGAATTGGGCGGGTATTACGATGTAGGATTTATAAATTAATAAAATACCCTATATATTTATTTTTTTACAAAATACCCCCTATAATAAAACATTAAAAGTTAACAAAAATACCCCTAACCCACCCTCAAACATCCCCAGTCGGCCACCACCACCGGAGGTGGCCGAAGTCACCTTATGGGCGCATGACCGGCTGGATCTTGCTGGTCATGCGCCGATATGGCCTTTTCCGGCTAGATCCACGGTGGATCTGGCCAGCAAAGGCCAGATCTACAGCCAGATCTGGCGTCAACCGCCAGATCTGGCCGTATTTGCTCTCAACGACAGCCAACAAACGGTCGTCGTTGATGGTCAACGACGACCGTTTGTTGGCCGCTGTGACCGATTGTTACGGAACGGCTAGATCTTTGGCCTTAGATCTGGCCTTTTCTGGCCAGATCCACCGTGGATCTGGTCGGAAAAGGCTAGATCGGCGCACTACCGGCCAGATTCAGCCGGTAGTGCGCCATCCTACCAGATTCTGGCCATTTTCCGGTGATGGTGGCCGGAATCTGGTAAATGTGGATTATTGGGGTGTTTTTGTAATTTTAAAAAAAATATTTAGGGGTATTTAATTAAATTATCAAATTTAAGGGGTTTAAAAAANTTATTTTTGCTCCATTTCTGCATGAACGATTACGTGAGCGCAGATGGCAATGCATCACGGTTTTTGGGCTTTTAATGTGTCCAAAACTATGGGGGGATTGTTATAAAAACTTGGACAGTTTCTCACAAAAATTTAACAAAACTGTGGGGGGTAACAAAACTGTGGGGGGCAAAGTGATTTTCTCTTTGCAGCAAACATAAAACACATGCCTAAATTGCTCCATGAGCATAAGGATTCATTATTAAGGAGAGCAAGGCTAGCTTTACTCACTTCTCTTACTCACCTTTATAAATATATAGTATAATACGGGTATCATACATATAATACGGATACTATATGTTATTTTAACAAAGATCAGTAAGAGAAGTAAGTAAAGATAGCATTTTTCTATTAAGAAATATCACAAAAATTTCACAAATATAAGAACTGTGGAGGGCTCCATATAATTTAAGAAATTGAAAAGATCAGTTAACCCCCTCAAAGTTTCTTCATTTGAAATTTCCCTAATCTAAGCCTATATTTAAACCCTACTAATTTCCTTTTGTATTTCACCCAGGTATTATCAATTCAATTGTACTCAAAAATCAAAACTTCATCAAACTCATCAGCCTCTCCCTCCCAAACTTCAACAAAAATGGCTTTAAATCTCAAGACTTCAATCCACCACTCTCCCTCTTTGGCTTCATCTCCTCAATACCTTCATGGGTGTTCCTCAAAACACTCTTCAATTTCCTTCCCACACTCTGCTTCTCTCCCAGGTTTCACTTCTCTTCATTTTTTTTTCTCCTTGTGGCTTTCTGGGTCAAGGCTTTTTTTCAGTGACTTGTTTCACTGAGTTTTAGGCTTTGCAATTGGAACCCAGGTAGCTTTTGAGAGGAACGACCGTTTCTCGGTTGTTGAAACGGCAGCCGTGAGACAATTGACTGGATCGTTGACTGGATCATTCTTCACATTCTTGATAGTAATCTCGTCGGAAAATTGACCCAGACTGAAACCCCATCCATCAGCATCTTCAGGCCAACCAGGATCATCCTCCTCCATAACAAGTGGGTAATCTGCCGCGGTTTCTTCATCTTCTTCTTCCTTTCAATAGGCTCTATCTCCTCCTTAACATCAGGACACCGATCAATCACTTCTCTGATCTTTCTCCTCCATTCAAGTCTTTCTTCAGGATCCATAAATGGGCCATCATCCATATGAATTGTAGAAAACAAATAACACACCCTTATATGCAATTTAAGATAGTTAGATATAAGACCAGTAAACTGCAAATGAAAGAGAAGTTTTGAATCCATTTTCCATTAAAGGTGGATATTATGAACACTTGAAACTCACTGTATGTTGTAACGCCATTTCTGTACATTGTCCTGTCCACTCCAAGAGTTATCGGATATATAAAAATTAGCATCCGTAGTTAGATTAGATCCAGAATTTCATAACTACTTTATACAATTTCAATGTTCCGAGCTACGTTGAACATTCATCTTGGTTTTTTATTGACCAGGATTCATTCAATTTCAAATTATCCTGCCATTTGCCATGTTGTGATATAAATTAATATCCAAATTTAATTATATTATAGAAAAAACTTCATGCTAAATTAAACACACTAATCTTATTGCTTAATTAATATCTGAAACGCTTGAAAAGACAAAACGAATTAACATGTCCAGAAGATAAGTTTCAAGTCCCAGCAGCTGATAATGAAATTCAGGTACAGCTTCATTTTTGTGGCCCATTATTTCCAAGGAAAATACTTGTTAATACATTCTTGCATTCCAAAGAAGCCTTCAGCAGCTTCAGACCCTAACAAAAATATAGAATAAATCCCATCTCAGCTCAACTTTGCTCATAGTAATATTATTTATAAATACCATATATACATGCAATAACCAATTGCAGAAAAATTATGTGATAGACATACCTCTTCAACGCCAAAATCAACAACCTTCTCTTCAAGTGAACGCACATCCTTAACATGAAACCTGTTTAGCATGGTGATGCTAGAAATAGTAGACATTGGCTTCAGCTCCAAGTTATCCATTACCGTATATGTCACTACCGCTTTAACGAACCCTCTCTCAGCTGCAACGGTGGTGCTTTTGCCCGCTGGATTACTACTAGCGTTTACATAAGGAACCTCAGTGGTCATTTTCTGGTGGGACTGCGGACAAACCACGTTTGGAATTTCAGCCACATTCGAATGCTTGTATGGGCACATGTAAACACTTCGAGTTTTCAATTCATGATCAGACAACAAAAGGGGCATATCAGTAGAATAGACTGGAGATTTGGGATTGAGAAGAGAGCTCTTGTTTTGGTTTGGCTGAATATATATTTCGTTGAGATGTTCAATACTCTCATAAAGATTACCTAAACAACCCACCATGTTTTTCTTTTCTAAGAGCCTGACAATAGTGCCAGCAGGCAAAGAAAGTAGGTAGAAGAGAAAATCTGCAAACTCTTTGCCTGCTTCAGCAAATAGGACTATTTTAGCTTCTTTGTCAACAAGAAGCTTCAACTTTACTTTGGCATCTGCCATGGTTAATTTTGGAGTGTTTAAAACAAGTTATATAGAATTGGTAACTGATGATGTGGTTTACACACATTGTAAAGCTAAATTTATAGGGAAGAAAAGTTGATCAGGATTCATTACACAGGAACAGTAATCGTGAGCAGTTAATTTGTAATGAAGATGTTATATATTATGCAGTTGTAGAATAATCCCTCCACCTTTCGGAACAGATCTTACAATTTCGTCCACCAACTGTGCTATCCATTTCAATAAATAATTTATCATAGAAATATGGTATATAACCTAATAGTTTCCCAATTAGTATAATCAATGGTTTAGATGTGTAATCCGCAAAACGCAACAAAAATTCGGATTGCCGCAATCTAATTTTAGAATTATAGTTTTAGTTCTGCCACTATAGAAATGTGAAAACCTCATAAGTAATTAATATACCAGTCAAAGACAATAATCTTTATCTTTTTTTAAAGGCATGAGATGTAAATAGCTCTTAAAGAATAAAGAAAATCAAAGCATTCCCAAAAAAGAATGTGATTCAAGCACCCAATAAAGTAAAGTTAAGTTGGGTTCTTTGCCTTCAAGAAATAATGTAAACTTACTAAGTCTCAAAGCTGTTTCTATCATCCAGGAAATACTAAATTTTAAAAGCAAAGGAGTCATAAGGATGAAGAAAGCAAAATGGGCGAGGAAAAAGAGAAAGAATAAAACTACATATTAATGATTAAGCAGTACTTTAGACTGGTGGAATCCAGAAGGCTTCACAATCTAACAACCAAAAGTTGATGATCTTGAAATATTGTCCGTTCTTTATCTCAAAATGCTGAAGAATAAAGTAAATATTGTTTGTTCAAGCAAGGTCTTTATTTATCCAATAATCAAAGTAATTTTTGTCCTTCTAAACGAAGATAATGAAGTGTTTTATTATTGTTCTTAGTCGTCCTTTAATTATTATTGTTGATCTTTCAACATTATCAATGACATAGAATGGACCAATGGACTAAAGAAACCATATTTCTTAGAACACACGTCTGTTTGTTACATCATTTGAAAAATGTTATCCTGAATAAATGTTTTAAGTTGAGTTGAATTGAATCAAATTGAATAAGATTTGAATTTGAAAATATATTTAGTAAAATATCTAAAAATTATATCAGAATTAGATAAAATGTTAAATAGTTTTTTGGTATAAGGCTTTTAAAACAGGGTAGTTATTTAGTACATTTTCTAATAATATTTATTATTTGATTCTGGAACTCTTTTTTTTTTCAGTTTAAATAATATTAAATAGTTGTTTGGTAATTTTTTTATCACTAATTTACAAAAAAAAAAATAAATAAATAAAATAAAATAAAATAAAATTCTCCATAATAATTTTAACTACTGATACATAATTTAAAAGCTAAAAATTAAGTAAATTATAATATCCGTGCCATAAAGGAATCATACAACGTATCTAAATAAGAAAGGATACTCATATTGTATAATAATGAATACAATTGAAAATGAAAATGAGTTGCTGATCTATATCATTACTTACAATCATTGGAATATAAAGAGATGAATATATATCAAGGATCATATTCATATACAATACTAACCAATCCAATGGAAAATCGTGACAATATTAAACATAAGAACAATAGTTAAGGTGTAAAATACATCAAATGATACTAAAACAAACCAGAAGGACACAGATAAGAGTGTCCTTTTTCTCCAATTTATTCAGAAAGCAAAACTACAATAACACAAAAACACAAACGAAACACAAGGCTCATAGAACAAGCACTATTGTGCTTGTTGCCTTAACTCACTCATTTCCCATTTGCAAAATTCTCTCTATTCCACCTCAAATGTCTTCCTAAATTGCAACAAATCCCAAATTTTTCTTCTCATCAGGGAGTGACTTTGCAACACTTTCCTTCTGCATACATCTCTTAGCCCACGCAATGCATTTGGAGCACTCTGCTGCTACACTGAACTTGGCATACGTCTCATATGCGTGAAACCAGCAATATAAAGGGATCAAAGATAAGTTGACATACCCAAAGGTCTCGCTTCTAAAATAAGGATTGTCTTCGAGCTGCCCTTCCAAGGTATTGATTACTTCAATGAATTCCTTCTTTGCGGCCTCCTGCGCTTCGCCTGTTGTGGTCCATGTCTTCCTCCCCGCATCATATAACTGCAAATTTCTTTACTAAGTTTGCATCTTTGTTCTGAAATAGGTAAGATTTTAACACATCCAATATCATCAAGCAGAACCAAGAGAGGTGCCTTGACATTGTATGACTTTAGTTAATTATTTTCTCCAATTAACACATACAATGAAAATGGAGAAACGAAACCTTCATTCATTTCAAGCAATCACATCATTTATGTTGTTGTAAACCTGAGTTAGTCTTATCCTAATCAAGAGTCAACACAATCAAACATAGATCAAATACAAAAAAGGAACAACACGCAATCTTTTTACCATGGTTCACTGGTTCAAGATTGAACAAGCTATGTCCACGTTGAGCTTCAGAATATGGAGGCTCACTGCACTATTATTATTGTCACCAAAGATTAGAAAACCACCACTCATTGTTCCCTTCAAGCCCTTACTAACAAGAATCACAAAGACTTCACTTCTATACCCGTAAATCTATAATCCTAATGAGAATTCTAACCCTGATTCTCTACACCACAAAGAAACACAACTTTGATGGGTGGATCAACCATTGATTTACACAAGAGCAAAGTACTATACAAAGAACCCTAGCAAAGCAGTTTTGATTGAGCTATTTTGATCGAAAGAGACTATTCAGAATGGGGAAAGACTTTAGCTTTTATATGGTTGGCCAGCAGTAAGTCTTCAGCCGTTAGATTGCTTGGAGATCAATGGCCAGAAATGCAAGATGTATTAAAGCTAAAACGACAGCGTAAAGGCTTCACTCATTAACAATCTCCACCTTGAAGCCTTATTCTTTCTCTAGACAACAACAAATTTGTGCAGCAAGCTTCTCACATACTCCTTCTCAGCTTTATAAGATCAGTTGATGTGTAGTAGGTTTAAGCAATACTTGAACTTTGTAGGAGTTACCACTTTTTTTTCCATATCAGCTAGGTTCTCTTCAGTTGGTATTTTCAACAGATTCAAATTCCCTTTTGTGATTTAGTCTCGGAAAAAATGATACTTCACATCCACGTGCTTCGTCCTCTCATGATATACATGGTTTTTACTTAGATGAATGGCACTTTGACTGTCAGAATACACAGTCACAAGTCCATCCATCAAACTTGCTTCTTTCAAGATCCCTTGCAACCATATTGCCTCCTTAAATGCATCAGTCACTACCACACACTCAGCTTTTGTTGTGGACAGTGCAACCAATGGTTGTATTTGTGATTTCTAACTGATGCAGTTGCCTCCTAAGGTGAAGCAATAGGCTATAGTGGATTTCCTTGAGTCTCAATCACCTGCAAAATCAGAGTCTACATACCCAACAAGATCAAGTGTAGAGTTTCTTTTGCAAAAGTCTAATCCAACATGCATTGTGTTGTTAATGTATCTAAGCAGCCATTTTAATGCAACCCAATGTTCTATTCGTGGATTTGAAATAAACCTACTCAGTAATGATATTGCAAATGAAAGATCAGGTCTTGTGCTTATCATGGAGTACATGATAGATCCTATGGCACTTGAGTAGGGGATCATTTCCATTTTTAACCTTTCAGCATCAGTTTTGGGGCACTGTAATTTACTCAATGTAAAGTGACCTGCTAAGGGTATGTTAACAGGTTTAGATTCAGTCATTCCAAACCTGGAAGTCAATTTTATAGGTATGGTAGTTGGTGAAGTTTCAACCTATTTAATTTTCTGTTTCTGTCAATTATCATCCCCAAAATCCTTTTTGCAGACCCTAAATCTTTCATATCAAAGTCAGCACTTAGTTTTGCTTTTAGTTCATCTATGTGTGACTTAGATTTGCATATTAATAGCATGTCATCTATGTACAACACCAGGTATATAGGCATGTTATTTATGCGAGCAAAATAGAAACAGTTATCATATTCACTTCTAGCAAACCCAACTCCTACTATGAATAAGTCAAATCTTTTGTACCATTACCTAGGGGGTTATTTAAGGTCATACAGGGACTTATGCAATAGACAAACATGTTCAAGCAAAGTCCTTTCTCTAAACCCAGTAAGTTGACTCATAAATATTTGTTTTTCCAATTCACCACGTAAAAATATTGTTTTGACATCCAATTGTTCCAATTCCAAATCATAATGTGCCACAATTGATAGCATTAACATGCCCTCTATGTGAAGCCCTTAGCCACAAGTCTGTCTTTGAGTCTTGGTGGGTCTGAGCTTGTTAGGCCTTCCTTTAATTTGTAAAGTCATTTACAGTCTACCAGTTTCTGGTCAGTTGGTTTTAGGACTAGAGGCCAGGTTTTGTTCAACTTTAAGGACTTCATTTCCTCCTTCATGGCTTCCAGCCATTTGTCTCTGTCTCTAGAGCTGATGGCTTCTTGATAGGTTTCAGGTTCATACCTTTGTATCTCTACACCAGCAACCAAGGCTGTGAAGATTAGGTTAGCATAGTTGAACCTGTTAGAGGGCCTTATCTCCCTCCTAACTCTATCTCTTGGTAGCTGGTATTCTGCCAGGTTTTCATTCTGGGCTTCATCAATTTTTTAGGTTGTTCCCAATCTTCATGTTGGTCCTCATTGTTGGGCAGTGAAGGATTTTGTGGTTCAGAAGCTTCTAGTTGTTTAGGGTGCTTTATCAAGCTTGTTGGCTCCACCTCAAACTAAGATCTCTCAGTTTGATCAAGCATTTCAGGATCACTTCTTGACTTACCTGCATTGTCATTTGAAAGCTTGCAAGGAAACATGATCTCATTAAAGACTACATCTAGACTGATTATTACCCTAACCCCTGGGCATCCCTTTCCCACAACCTATAGCCTTTGGTCTCTTCTTGATACCCTAAAAAGACACATGTAAGGGACCTAGCTAGGCTCTAACTTGCCATCTCAAGTGTGTGCATAAGCTGCATACCCAAACACCCTTAGGTAATTAAGGTTTGGTCTCCTTCCTAACCATCTCTCTTCTGGACATTTAAAGCCTATCGAACTTGAGGGACTCCCTATTGATTAGGTAAGTTACAGTGGTTGGGACTTTTCCCATAAAGTTTTGGACAAACCAATAGTAAATAAGAGGCATCTAACCCTTTCTAGAAGTGTTCTGTTCATCCTCTCTGCAACCCCATTCTGTTGTGGGGTTCCCTTGACAGTCCTATGCCTTAATACCCCTTTATTGCTACAATAAGTATCAAACTCTAGGTTATAGAACTCCAACCCATTATCAGTCCTAAGGGCCTTGACTTTTCTGTCCAATTGGGTTTCTACCAAGATTTTCCAGCCTTTGAACTTAGTCAACGCTTCATCCTTAGTCTGGATAAGGTATACCAATACCTTCCTATTGTAATCGTCTACAATGGAGAGGAAGTATATGTTCCCTCCATGACTTGACACTTTTAGGATCCCAAACGTTAGCATGCACATAGTCCAAACACTTTGCAGTAAGATGAGTTCCTTTGTGGAAACTCATCTTGTGTTGTTTACCAAGAACACATGTTTCACAAAAACTTAAATCAGAAACAAAATCATTACCAAAATAACCCTGCTGTTTCAATGCATTCATGCTATTTGGGCCTATGTGACCTAATCTTAAATGCCATTTCTCTGCAATAGATACATTAGTGGACAGTAGAGCAGTATTAAACACACCAGGATAGTATTAACCACATAAGATATAAAGGCCATTCTTTTTAACACCCTTTGTCTATACATTTCCATTTTTGTACACTTCCAGGCAGCCATTTTGTGTTTTATAGGAACAACCAGATACATCTAATGTTCCAAGTGAAATCAGATTACGCTTAAGCTCAGGTATGTATCTAACCCTAGTGAGCAGAACCATTTTACCATCATTTAGCCTAATGGTTATGTCACCTATGCCTTGAACCTCACAGGAATGGTTATTGCCAATGAATACAGTTTCTTGTTCACCAATTTTAAGTCTTTGGAACCAATTTCTGTTTGGACTCATATGGAAGGTACATCCTGAGTCTAGCACCCATTCATTACCTCTAGCCGTGTTAGAAATAGTAAGAACTTTAGAGATCTCAATGTTATTGCTAGTGCTAGCTAGGTTGATTTCAGTACTAGCCTATTTGTTCTTTTTAATCCATTCGTAACAATTTTTCTTAAGATGTCCTATTTTATTACAAAAGAAACACTTCCTAGATTCTCCCTTAGGTTTCCCATTCCCATTACCTTTCTTTTTGACTTTAGTGCCTAAGTTACTTTGAGAGTTCTTACCAGATTCTTTATTAAACTACCTAGTGTCAAATCTACCTTTAACAAATAGATTATTACCATTTCTCTTCTATATTCTTAGTTCTAGTTCCCTAGAATTTAACCTGGAAATTATCAGATCCACACTAAGTTCAGTGCCACTATACTGTAAAGCATTCGTTATAACTAGATACTCTTCTGGTAGAGAGTTTAATAGGATCATGGCAAGACTAGAGTCTCCTAGTTCTTGGTCAGTAGTACCTTTTAGAGTTAGGGGTCATCTTAAGAAATTCATCCAAGTTTTCATCTAAATATTTGGCTACGTCCATTTTATATGAGAATAATGCCCCTTTTAAAAAAGCTAAATTTGGTGTTGACTGAAGAGCATATAAAGATTCGAGTTTACCCTAGAAAGCGATTGGAGATTCCAGGCCATCCACCTTCCACAACACGGTGTCAGACAGGTTCATGATGATCAAATTATATGCCTCTTCATCTACCTCTGCCTTATTCTTCAGCTTTTCTTCAGGCCATTTGGTGGTGTCCTTTTCTAGAGCAATTCTTACCTTATGGTGGGATAAGAGGGCCTTCATCTTCTTTTTCCATGTGTTGAAGTCAATCTTCCCATCATATTGGGAGATTTCCATGCATATGGTGCTTATGGTCTAGGTTCAAAAGCAAGCCCTAAAGAATCAAGGTTAGGATGGTGGACTCAACTCATAGAGATCGAAGAATTGATCTCTGTGTACCACAATTTTTTTTTTTTTTTTTTTTTTTTTTTTTTTTGGGAGCCTAGGACTCTAAGAATTACTTAATTGAAAAGGCCCTAAATTTTTCAAACCTTAGAAAATTTCCCAAATCAAGAAAACCCTAGAATGTAAAATCGAGGAACCCTAAACTCGACTCTGATACCACTGTTGTAAACCTGAGTCAATCTTATCGTAATCAAGATTCAACACAATCAAACACATATCAAATACAAAAAAAGAACAACACGCAATCCTTTTACCGTGGTTCACTTGTTCAAGATTGAACACGCTACGTCTACGTTGAGCTCCAGAATATGGAGGTTTGCTGCACTATTATTAGTGTCACCAAAGATTACAAAATCACCACTCAATCTTCCCTTCAAGCCCTTACTAACAAGAATCACAAAGACTTCACTTCTATACCCATAAATCTATAATCCTAATGAGAATTCTAACCTTGATTCTCTACACCACAAAGAAACATAACTTTGATGGGTGGATCAACCACTGATTTACACAAGACCAAAGCACTATACAAAGAACCCTAGCAGAGCAGTTTTAATTGAGCTATTTGTATCGAAAGAGACTGTTCAGGATAGGGAAAGACTTCAGCTTTTATATGGTTGGCCCGCAGTAAGTCTTCAGCCGTTAGATTGCTTGGAGATCAATGGCCAGAAATGCAAGATGTATTAAAGCTAAAACGATAGTCTAAAGGCTTCACTCATTAACATATGTAAATCATGAACTGGGTTGATTCAAAATCATGCCAATTCGCAAATTTTGAATTCACTTAAATAAATTCCATATATTCTTGAAAAATAAGCATGACCTCTCCTAAAATTCATGGCCAAAACATTTTAACACATCCACTATCCATTTCAGGGCCAAGCAAAACCAAGAGTAGTGCCTTAACATTGTATGACTTCATTCAATTATTATCTTCAGCTAACACACACAATAAAATAGAGAGAATGAACCTCCATTCATTTCAAGCATTCACACCGTTATTTAAATCATGAATTAGGTTAAATCAAAATCATGCCAGTCCACAAATTCAGAATTCAATAAACTAAATTGTATAAATTTCTAAAAAGAATGGCATAAATTTCTCCTACAAACTTTCATTGAGGGCAAAGAAAATTCATTCAATCAATCACAAATTAAGCAACAAAAAAAACTTAATAATACTTCAATTTTATTTTTTTGTCAATGATACAACCTAGAATCTAGCTTGAGATCGCTCATAAGGATCAGAGGGGAGCAAAGGAGCTTTATCCTTCCAAACCTCACCAATGTACTGAACAATGATGGAAGAAATAAGGTAAGGTGGTCACGCGAGAGAGAGAGAGAGAGAGATCGCCCCTTCCGGCAGTCGAAGAATGATGGGAGAGAAGAAGAAATGTTTTGGAGTGGAGGGAGAATGATTTAGGGTTGATAAGGAAAGGCCAGGATCGAAGATGGAGGGACAACGATGCGAGAGAAGAAGAAATGTTTTAACTTGAATAGGATTGGAAAATCAAAAAACATGTCCAAGGCTGTTTTCATTTTCAAGCACAAAATTTGATTTGAATATGATTAATTTTTAGATAGCTTTGGGTAAATAAGTAAAAAAAATGTTTTTCTATTTTTTAATCCAGTTAGGAAAGCAGATTAATGATTTTAAAGAGTATACCAAATGGGGCGTTATTTTCAAGTTTTATAATTAAATTTCCTTCTTATGACACCTCAAAAATTCCATAAATGCTCTTATTCCATTTTTTATATTTATTTAATTCCCTTAACTTAGGTTATATACCCCTACCATTGCTATTCTTGAAATAAAATTTTAGATAATTCACTTGAAATTCAAAAAACAAATTACAGCTAAAAAAGTCTTTACAAATAATTCTAAGAACATAATACAATTAAACAACACAAGAAATATGTAGATTAAAAAATATACTATTGCACTTAGTAATTAATTAAGGATGTGCAATAGTCTGAAAACTAGACCGGGCCTTGACTCGATCAAGGGCTCGGTTTCTGAATTGATCGATTCGGTGACGTTAGCAATTCGAGCAGATTTAAAATCCAAAAAACACACCCTTGATAAATTACACATTAATCCCTACATGTTTGAAATCAAGTAAAAACACCCTACAAAATTTCCATAAATCCCTGCAGGTTTGAAATCCAGCAAAAATACCCCTATGATATGGGCAGTCGCGCGAAGAGACTAGTGGCGGCGACAATGATCGACGGCCAATCGGAGTGTCATGTGCACATAGGGCCCAGTTGTTGGTTGCTTATTATTTAATCTAGTAGAGTCCAGAGTCCAGTTAAGTTAGTCTGATTATGTGGGTCCAATAACTGTACGTGGGCATCAGGTTAAGACTTGTGCTTAATCCGTTGATTCACAGCCAAGTATTTTGGCTTAAGAATAGGTTTTCAAGTTAGGTTGTTAGCTGAATATCAGTGTCATATTTATGCTATTTTTATGGGTTGAGTCCTTGTAATCCAGTCAGTTGTTATTTCCAGCTGTATTTAAGTCTTTCATGTTAATGAGAAAGGTATCGAAACAGTTGCAATCAGTGAGTATTGGAGGCTGTGGATTTCCTTGAATTAATCCAACTCTTTCTTCTAGCGTGAACTTGACAATTGGTATCAGAGCAGGTCATTCCAATGGCTGAGGGTACAGGTACTAGATATTCTCAACTTGCAGAATCTTTGGCAGCTGTCAAACAAAATCAAGAGGAGTATCAGCAAAATCATAATTCTTTGCAACAAGTGGCTGAAGGGCTGGCCCATAAATTAGAAGTGGTTGCCTCAAATGTGGAGACATTGGTGCAGATGAAGACTAAGCATAATTCTGGTGATCCAGAAGGGTCTAAACGATAGATGACTAACCCTTTTTTTGAAGATAATGGGGGAATTCAGACTCACGCAGTGTGGTTGGATTTTCCTAAATTCAATAGAGAAGACCCTAGTGGGTAGGTCTATTGAGTTAATCAATTCTTCAATTACCATCAAACCAATCCGCATCACAAAGTCCTATTGGCATCCTTCCATATGGAAGGGAAGGCCTTGGTTTGGTTCCAGGACATTGAAGCTGCAGGGGGAATTAGCAGTTGGGAAGGATTTGTACATGCACTTCAGACAAAGTTTGGATCATCACTTTATGAAGACCCCATGGAAGCTTCTTATTCGGCTAAAGCAAACTTCAACAATGGAAGATTATAAGAGCCAATTTGATGCTCTTTCAAACCAACTTAAAGGACTGGCTGAGTCTTACGAACTCAGTTGTTTCCTAAGTGGGTTGCGGGAAGATATTCAGTTTATGGTACGTATGTTTAATCCTTCAAATTTACATATTGCTTTTGGTTTAGCAAAAATGCAAGAAGAGAATGTGGCTGCCCTTAGGAGAATTGCAAAACTAGGATCTGTTCCTACTTGTTTGGCTATTGGGCCCCTAAGTCCACCTGAAAAAAGGGTCATTGTTCTGGTCCAAAGACTATCACCTAGCCAAATGAAGGAGCGATGGGATAAGGGACTTTGTAATAATTGCGATGACAAATGGGGCCTGGGGCATAAGTGCAAATCAACCCAACTATTTATTATGGAGTGTGATGAATCAAGTGATGATGAGGTGCCTAAATCTAAAGTTGTAGAAGGAAGTGCGAGCAAGTCTAAGGAGGAAACACCTATAGTGGAGTTAGAACCCGAAATATCCATCCATGCATTATTTGGATCTCCAAACCCAAAAACAATGAGATTCTTGGGGCACATTTGTGGAAAGGTAGTAGTTATCTTGGTTGATACAGGAAGTACACACAATTTCATGGACCCCTTTGTTATTCAAAGGGCTTACCAACCATCTAATCCAACAGAAGGGCTCTCTGTCAAAGTGGCTAATGAGCAAGCAGTTCATAGTGAAGGGAATTGTGTAGAAGTACCTCTACATATGCAGGGTAATCTCTATACCACTGATTTTTCCATTTTGACCCTAAGTGGATGTGATATTGTTTTGGGCATTCAATGGCTTCGAACCTTGGGACCTATCCTTTGGGATTTCTCAAGATTTCAAATAGAGTTCTTAGTTTTAGACAAACCTCGAAGACTACAAGGTATGTCACCAACTGGTATCTTATTAGTAGAAGGAGAAAATTTTGGTAAAGTTTCTAGGCAAAATAAAAGAGGATTAGTTATTCAGCTTATTGATTTTGAAAATTCCAGTTTGCTGTCCATTGAAACTTCTATTGAGCCACTAATATATGACCTTCTTAACCAATATCCAAAAGTGTTTTCAAAACCCAAAGGATTGCTCCCTACTCAAAATCATGACCACCATATTGAGTTACAGTTAGGTGCAAAACCAGTTTGTGTAGGGCTTTATAGATACCCTCACTTCAAAAATCTGAAATTGAAAAAATAGTCCATGAAATGTTACAATCTGGTATTGTTAGACCTAGTCAAAGTCCATTCTCATCCCCGGTCTTATTAGTAAGAAAACATGATGGAAGTTGGAGGCTTTGTGTTGACTATAAAACCCTTAACAAATAAACCATTAAGGTTAAATTTCCTACACCTATAGTTGACGAACTTCTTGATGAACTTCATGGGTCAACCATCTTTAGTAAGTTAGATTTAAGGTCAAGATATCACCAAATTAGGGTCCATCCAGAGGATATACCTAAAACAGCCTTTCGTACCAATGACGGCCATTATGAATTCTTGGTAATGCCCTTTGGGCTTACCAATGCCTCGGCAAGCTTCCATAGCCTTATGAATGACATCTTTAAACCTTATTTATGAAAGTTTATATTGGTTTTTTTTATGACATTCTTGTCCATAGTAAAAAACTTTCTAACCATGTTCATCATTTACAAACTATTTTAGACATTGTAAAACAGCACCAGCTTTTTGCAAAAAAAATCTAAGTGTTGTTTTGGATGTGTTGAAATTGAGTATCTTGGTCACCTAATCTCAAAAGATGGGTACGAGCTGATCCAACCAAAATTTAAGAAATGCTTAATTGGCCATTTCCTACCAACCTTAAATCCCTTAGAGGATTCCTAGGTTTAACTGGATATTATAGAAAATTTATCAAAGGATATGGACTTATAGCAGCTCCCTTAACAGCCCTTTTAAAAAAGAATTCCTTCCAATGGACTGAATCTAAAAAAAGGGCCTTTCAAGATCTTAAACATGTTGTAACTAGCCTTCCTTCTTAGCTTTACCAGATTTTTCTATTCCTTTTACTATTCAATGTGATGCTTCTGGTATTGGTGTTGGAGCTGTATTAATGCAACAGGGCAGGCCCTTAGCATACATGAGTCCAGCAATTCATGGAAAAGCCTTGCAACTATCTACCTATGAGAAGGAGTTGATGGCATTAGTCTTAGCAGTGAAGAAATGGAGGTCTTATCTTTTAGGACATAACTTTAAGATACAGACGGACCAGTAGAGTCTCAAGTACTTGTTGGAACAAAAGGTGGGTACTCCTTTTCAGCGAAAATGGATTACCAAGCTTTTGAGCTATGAGTTTGTGGTAGAATACAAACAAAGGAAGGAAAACAAGGTTGTTGATGCCTTGTCCCAAAAAATGGAAGAACATAAGGAAGGGAAACTGTCTGCTATTGCTGCACCAACTAACACTTGGTTGGAACAAGTCAAACTCAGTTATGCTACAAATCCTAAATTGCAGTAGATTATTAAAAAGCTGGAACAAGGAAATCTTGCATCCCAAAATTATAAACAGAGGGATGGATTATTATTTTACAAGGGAAGATTGTACATTCCAGCCTCAAAGGAGTTAAGAGAATAGATTCTTTAATTGCTACACAGTAGCCCACAAGGAGGACACTCAGGATTTCACAAGACTCTTCACAGAGCTAAATCTGAGTTTTATTAGGAAGGAATAAGGAAAGAGGTCAAGGTGATATATGTCAACAAAACAAGTCCGAGAATATCCACCCGGCTGGATTGCTGCAACCATTGCAAATTCCTACCAAGGTGTGGACTGATATTTCCCTTGATTTCATTGAAGGATTACCGAACTCTGAAAGCTATAGTGTTATTATGGTGGTAGTGGATTGGCTGTCTAAGTATGCTTACTTTATTCCTATTTCTCATCCGTACACTGCCTCAAAGATTGCTCAGGTTTTCCTAGCCAATATTTTTAAATTACATGGGCTGACTAATTCTATTGTTATTGATAGAGATCCTACTTTTACAAGTACATTTTGGAAGGAGCTCTTTAAGCTGCAGGGAACCATTTTGAAATTTTCATTAGCTTACCATCCTTAAACGGATGGCCAGACAGAGATT